CACCTCGGGCTTGCTGATGGCCAAACTGCCGAAGCCCAGACCCATGCCCGAAGCAGCCGCAGCGAGCGGAGCGTCCTTGCTAGCCACCTTGCTCAAGCTCAACGCGCTCTTGCGTCCTAGAGTTCCGCGACCGATGATGTCCGCTGCAGATGTGGACCTTCTGCGCGTCTGTTCCTGCGGAGCTTGAGAGTCCACCGAGAAGACAGGAGAGGCTACATCTATCGCTGTCGATCCGGATGAGGTCCAGTGACCAGACGGTAGCGGAGCAGACGATGTTACCTCGTCTTGCGCTTTCAACGCGTCCACATCGTCCGCAGCGGGGGTGTTGAAAGTGTGCGCGAGAGGGGGCGCTGGCATCGTCTCTGGCACTGGCAAAGGAGGAGGAGGAGGTCTGCTCCTTCTTGCGGTGCCAAACCTGATGGAACCTGTGAGATTGACACTGCTCTGCCTCACGCTACCATGCTCACTGCCATCGGCCTCAAAGCCCAGCGCGTCGTAATCTTCCGGAGCATAGGTAGAAGCACGATACGGGTTGCCTTTGGTCTGAGGTCGGGCACGTCGAGAAGGTGCAAGCGTCGCGATTGGGTCGAGAGAATCCTGCAAGTCTGTCGGACCTTCCGAAGCGGCTCGATCGGGCGCGGGAGCAGGGAACAGGGCGTTCAAAGTTGCGCCGAACCTTTCTGCGGGAGCGGCGACGGGCTTGACAGTGTCGGAGTCCAATACCTTTTCTCCATCCTCGGGTGCCGAAACGTGCACAGCAGCCTCTTCAGCTTCCCATGCCTCTTCGGAAAGCTGCCTGTTCCTAATCGACTCCTCGAATTTGCTGAGTCCCGATTCGATCGAAAAAGCAGTAGAGTCAGATCCATCCGCCGATGCTTCTTTCCTCATGCTCGATCTCTGATCGTACGCATGGGTCGCACTCTGCACAGATTCCTCATCGTGGTCTGGAGCTGGATGATGAGCTTCGAGCGCCTGCTCGGCTTGGTAGGCCCTCATGACATCCGCCACAGCGTCCAAGAAAGCTCGATCGCTCGAAGTCTGACCTTCCTTGCCCTGCTGCGCCTCGCTCTCGCTTTCCGCTGAAAGGGAACTGGGCGGATTCGTGTCCAAAATGGCGTGCAATTGCTGCGCGTCCATCTCGTCACTTTCATCCTCAATATCGACCAGAGCGTCTCGCTGCGCGTCATTGAAGCCGAGAGATTGCGGAGCGTGATCGTCCACATGAGATTCAGCTGCAATGTGCTCCTGTCGTCTCGGCTTGATCGTGGATCGCGCCTCATCCGACGGGCTTCTTCGAGCGACCTGTTGCTCGGCTTCATCTCTGAGCGAATCGAAGCTTTCCATGCGTCTCTTTACGAGGCCCTTTTGCGAGATGGCTCTCGCCAGTCGAACTCTCGGCGAGTCGGGCACCTCGTCCGGATGAAGCTCAAACGAACCGCTCGAGGATCTTTCGCCACTCCCATGCCCGTCGCGAGTGCGTCTGGGGCGACCGAGGGCCACGTACTCCTCATCTTCCGCAGCCGAAGCGCAAGATTCTTCGCTAGCGCTCTCAAATTCCCTAATCATCCTCGTGACCCTCTTTTTGTCCTTGAGTCTTCTGAGCGTGTTC